TGTACTGCTTAAACGCGATTCGTTTTAGATGTTTGGCTTCCGACAGGCCGAGCATATGACGATGAGCTATTTTTGACTTTGAATGTGTTCTTTTTGATGTGATCTTCTTTCGATGTGCAAAAACCAAAAGTAATATCTTGAAAAGTGACATTTGTCGAATTTAAACGAGCCGGAGTTATCGCATTTTGTGTTTTATTCTCACTAAACTGCTCATTTCTTTATCTTCTCATCAATTTCGCATCGTAGCATATCGGCGGTTGCTGATCGTCAGAGCTGGAAATGTCTAAAAGTCATCCGAGCCGATGAATTTATTTTGAGTTTTGTAAACTTTCTGATGAATTCCAAATATTTGACAGTGATTTCCCGATTGATTCAATTAATGCGCAATTGCGATGTCATTGGAATGCTCACTCGCTCGCTCGCTCGCTCACTCAGTCACTGAAAACGTTCATCAACAATTTTCATTCATTTCAAATTCATCAATCTAAGAGTCTAGGAGTATGTTAAAGCACGCAAACTTCATACCATGACATTCCATCACTCAACAGTGAGCGTAATGAACATTTGAGTGTGTCCAATTTATTAGACTTGAACGTGTCTAAAGTGTCTAAACCTGAACCAAATTATTTTCTTATTTTTCTTTATTACTATTTTATTATTGATATTTGAAATTACCAGTTGCAGTGAACTGTCACCATGAGCGTTTCAGTCGTTCATTTCGAATATATGATGGAAGTTGTTCATCTCCTTCCCAATTTTTTCTCAAGTGTCCCATTTCTTTCGTTTGGAATGTTCTATTTCTTAGCTTTTTTCCCCACAAATAACTGCACAATTGAAAAATGTCGATGCCCTTGTGTCCTTAATTGCAAGGTAAGGCAGAAAAGAAAGGTCAATAGTCCATCATCGCGATGTTCACTGAATGATATTCACTCTCAGAACTATTAAAGGCTAAAATCGATTCAGTTCATTGCAATTAAATAACTCTTTGAATTAATTCTCAGAACGAGATTTTCAAATTCATGTCGTTCTGAAAATGATTTGAATAAATAACTGACTCGACTTCAATTCAGTGTTATTCTAGTGTTATTTGAAAGTATACTACCGATTGCATTCGGCCCGATTGCTGAACAATTCCATCAGGTGGAGAATTTTATCTGTGTATCTTCGTGGAGAAAGATCATTTTCCAATGGTCCTTATGTGTGATCAGCCTGAACTGCTTGTCACCATTCGTAGTCATCTTACTATTAGTTGTCATTTCTTGATCGGTTGCATGAAAGTATAGAATGCAAAGAATTGTGGTCTTTCGTTCAACCAGTTATCACCGAAACGTCGTTGTCACGCCACTTCAGTGTCATTAAACACCTCATCTTAATTGGCTAGTGCGCCTGTACAATGCAATTGCGATACGATGCACTCATGCGAATAACTTTGCCGTGTGAATAACTAACTTCGCTTTTAGTGTCCATGTGAATGAATGTAAATGTTCAGATGCAATGCAAGGACGATATATTATTACTATACTATTGATGTTACTTGTGTTCTGTTGTTATCTAACAATCAGCATAGCAGCCCAATATGATTCACATCGATCGAAAAGCCATCAGCTAGCTGCAGATACCTCCTCAGTTGCGGCTCCATCTTTCTCGGATTGCCTCATCAACAGTGACTCGATAACAGGTATTTATTATTGTTATTATTATTATTACTATTATTACTGCTATTATCATTCATCAATAAAATCATTCTACTTCATGACATACGATATGTGATTCAGCACCGTCTATTTTAATGTCCTATGCTCTAGCAAATGAATGTTAATGCTTGCTATCATTACACCGTGTTCATGTTGCTGAGTAGTACCAGTGAAACGCTATATATAAGTGTGAAAGGGGGAGATTTATGAATGCTTGACTCAGTGGTTAACGATGCTATCAGCAGTGGTCGATTTGATTTGATTAGCGCAATCACGGCATCGCCATTTGAATGAATGCGTTGTCGAGCATGCTCATCACGCGAACAAATTTTAATAACTGGGAACACTCGATGAGCTTATGAATAATCACTGACCAATTCTATTGAATTAATAGTTTTGTTCGTTTACGATTATTGTTATTATATATTTATACTATAATATTGATGATGCTATATTATCGTATTATTATCATTATTTTTATTATTATGAATTATTATTATTAACATTATTGTTAGTATTANATTTCATCAATCTATTGTCCTTTTAGACTGTAATTTAGTCGTATTGTGTTCCGTTCAAACCTATTCTCAATTTATTTCCCAGTTTGTGAGAATCACAGAGGGAATCGTAAAGTGCTCTTCAAAAATTTACTGATTCATTGTAAATTTTTTCTGAGTTCGCATGAAAACTGCACGATTTCTCACCATATACTTTTGTTAGTGTGTTGCGGGAATGGAAAAAATCAGGGACGGGTTCGTCGAATTTTCTCGATCCCCGTTGCATACTACCCTTGCTAGTCGAACACCTCAAATTCATTCAGCCAGCTACATTCAACTCATCTGTATTCATTCACGGAAATATGTCAAATAACTGACTAAATTTTAAATTTCAGTGGCCGCCCTCAGTCAACTCTATTCACTTAAGAATTTTTGGTCATATCTCCTGTATCGATGCAGCATTGGACTATACTTCGTTCCAGTGCTTGTAATTATTCTCTGTAAATGCAAACTAATCAATTGTGATATTCGTTTGATGTATGGAAGTATGCCCGACGAATCTTTATAAGAAGGCTTTCTTTGGTGTTTTTGATGCTTAAGGACGATGATTCAAATATGCATATTCATGTGGAATGTTCTTTTTTGATTGTGACTCTGTCAGTTCAAAAATTTTGCAGCGATGATCACTCTGTTCGTTACCTTAATCGTTCATTGGTTTACTTATTTTTTAGATGAATATTAATTCCTCGTTTGATTGTGCTCTGTACTATACACTTGTATGATAAACATCATGTACATAGTTATATCTAATGAGATTTCTTGGAAAAGACATTTTACAAGCAAGCATTTATTCATAAAACAACTTGAGTAACC